ACTAATGTTGTGTCTGGACTATTTACCTTTGTCTTCTTCCCTGCCCCACCTCTTCCTGATCAGCTGAGCATGTTAGCTGAGTGTCAGGGTAGGAACTGATAGTGTTACTTAAGAGACTATGTAGCACTGTCCACCTGCTGTTCGTTGATTTGTTCCAGCAGGCCCAGTAACATCTCCATTGTGAGACTTGTTGCTACTGTGTTTGGCATCTCGAATATGTCATGGGTAGCTCGCCAGTCTTTGCCGTGCAGGCGAGATACTCTCGGTAGCTTGCCAGGCTCTCCGAGAGGGGTGGAGAAATCGAACACAGGTCGGCCAGGTCGGCCGCGTGCAAGGCAAACGCCCTACCCGCTGTGCTATTGCTGCATCAGAGAGTATATGGAGAAGAAATTTTGTGTGAGACTTGAGGAAGAAGAATATGGGAACAGTGAGTAAGGTAGCTCTCAAAGGGCAGAAGCTAAGCTTTCTAAAGAGATGGGTTTGGGGATTATTTGCAAAATTGCCACAGAGGAGGGAAAGAGAAGGGTTTTGCTGCTAATAATTGTTGCATAGAATTCTGGAGAAATTTTCTTTGGGGAAATGTTTTATCTTCTTTAAAGGTTTAAGGTTATATTCAATCACTGAAAAAAGATTGAAAGAGTTTTCCAAGACTCTAGAAAGGCATGTGTGAAGACGGGCATGCCCACATGCACTATTCTATTAAGAGTTCGAAGCTTCCATTTTATTTGGGGACATGGTCAGTATCTTTGACACTTGACAAACATTTTGTTTGACTAACATCACCATAGTTTTAGAAATAGAGATTTTTGCCTTTGAAAATTGCTTGTCCAAATAGGAGACTAACACCCAAGAATAGCTGAGATAAGTACCAGGAGGTTCACTCCATGGCTTGGAGGCCAGCCACCATGCTAGGGGAAAAGGCAGCTCAGATAGAGAAGGGAGCACCAAATAAAGGTGTTGGGAGGATCCTCCCAGGATGGGAGATGCATGCTGAAAGTAGACTATAGACGGAACACGATTTCCACTCAATGCTTTTTTTTGAAAACCACAGCACCCAAAAGGAGAGAGAGAACAAAAGGGAATGCCCTGCCACAGAGACAGGGTGGGATCTGGGGATGGGGGGTGGGAGGGATACTGAGATCAGTGGTGGTACAAAATGGGCACTGGTGGAGGGATGGGTACTCGATCATTGTATAATTGAAACCCAAGCACAAAAATTTGTAAGTCTACAACTGTACCTCATGGTGTTTCACTAATAAAAATTTTAAAAAATAAAAATAAATAAATAAATAAAAAAGAAAATTGCTTGTCCAAGCCTACTCGGGATGGGAGATGAGTGCTGAAATTAGTCTATGGACCCAACAGTATGGATGCTTAGTACCTGCATTGCAAACCATAATACCCGAGAGAGAGGAGGGTAAGAGGGAATGTTCCTGCCACAGAGGCAGGGGGTGGAAAGGGGTGAGGATGGCAGGAGGGATGCTGGGAACATTGGTGGTGGAGAATGGGCACTGGTGGAGGGATGGGTCTCGACCATTGTATAACTGAAATGTATGATGAAAGTTTGTGAGTCTGTAAAATAAATAAATAAATAAATTTTAAAAAGTCAGAAATTTAGCAGAAATAATAAAAAAATCAAGACTTCCAAAAAAAGAAAGTGAGAGTAACTGTATACATAAAGTTGACACTCTTACACTATAAAAAAAAAATTACGTGTCCAGGAACAGAGCAATAGTCCAGCAGGCAGAGTGCTGGCTTGCATTGTTGCTGATTCTGGTGTTCGATCCTGGGCATCGCATATGGTCACTCAAGTCTTGCCAGAGTGATTACTGAGCATAAAATCGGTAGTGAGCCCTGAGTACCTCTGGATGTGGCCCAAAACCAAAGAACAAAAACCAAACAATCAACAAAATTTGCTTGTCAAGAGCATCTTAGTTTGTGTCATAGTACATAGGAATAGTACAGTGACTTCTGAATGTGGACACAAGAAAATGTTTCTTTTATGTAGAATAAAGTTTGGCTGAAGGGAGCAGCTGGTCAGGAAGTCATGGATCACCTAAAATCTGAAGATGTTTTACCTGGAACTGAGACATGTGGTTATGCAGAGACTTGTGGGTGCAGCGTGTGGAACTCAAAACGGAGTAATAGTCCTGTCAAGGAACCCATGCTGCATCCAAAGTTAAATACTTGGCTCTGTTTGTGGAACTCCATCCCGCACATGCGTGCTGAGACTAGCCTTACTCCTGTCTATATCAAACCTCCAAGAGTTCACTGTATTCCTCGCATGTTTTGATAGTTCTATTCTCTTGGCTCTGATGATTTCTTGGAGGGCCGTTTGCTCCCATTCTCCTTGCACTGCGATTTCTGTTTTAATCGTTCAGCTTTTTGATACCGTTATCTCATACTATGTCTTTCAGGTTGGTCAGAAACGAAAGTCTTGATTGAAGTTTTACACTTAGGGACCAAAAGATGGGAGGCAACTCTGGTTCTACCCTCACACCCCATCACCTCAGGCAGCCTCCAATGACACCATCTCACGGGACTTCTATGTGAATCAGCTCTCCTGCAGGCGAGACACTCCTCCATTTACTCTTAGCCTGCTAGCACTTACTGGCTGATGTACCTTAAGTAGAATTCATTTGTTGTTCTTGTTGTTTTTAAGTGTAGCCTGGAAATTTCCTCAGAATCACACTTTGTACTTGATCTGCCCTACAGGAATATCTTAATGCATATTTTTATATGCTATCTATTCTCTCTCTCTCTAAAAATTTACTTATTTGTTGTTCATAATTGGGTTTCAGTCATATAATATTCCAACCCCCATCCTTCCACCAGTGTATGTTTCCCACCACCAATGTTCACATTTCCCCTTCTGTACCCCCACCCCCACCTGCCTCTACAGCAGACTATTGTTTCCTCTCTCTCTCTCTCTTTCTCATTCTCTTTCTTCAAAGTGATCATTTTCAACAATTGTTTTCATACTGGTTCCTTCTCTATCCTAACTTCCGTTTGACCACCGCTCACTTGTGGTAAGTTTCTAACCATGGACCAGTTCTCTTGGCCCCTGTTTTCTCTGGCTTTGGATATTAGTCTCATATGTTTTTTTTTTTAATATCCCACAAATGAATGCAGTCATCCTATATATTTCCCTCTCTTTCTGACTAATTTCACTCAGAGTGATATTCTCCATGTCCAACTTTTTAAGAGAAAATTTTCATGACTTAATTTTTTCGCTAATGATTGCATAGTATTCCATTGCATAGATGTACCACAGTTTCTTTATCCAGCCATTTGTTCTCGGGTGCTCAGACTGTTTTCATACTCTGGTTATTGTGAATAGTGCTGCCATGAACATAGAAGTGCAGATTTCTGCTGTGTGTTTTTGGGCTCCCATGGTGTATTTTCAAAAGTGGTATTGCTGGGTCATCTGGGAACTCAATTCAAATGGCCTAAAGGCACATGAATAAATGTGCCTATATCACTAATTATCACGGAGGTGAAAATCAAAACAAAAATGAGATTTCACCTCACACCATAGAGACTGGCACATATCAAAAAGAATAACAACTAGTGCTGGCACTGATGTGGGGAGAAAGGGACTCTCATCGTTGTTGGTGGGAATGCCAGCTGGTCCAGCTTTTTTGGAAAACAATATGGACATTTCTCAAAAAAAATCTCTCTCTTTTAAAATAAAGAAATGGTAGTGTTAGCAGTTGCGGGGACCTGCTAATGGAGCAGATCAGAAGAAAATGGGGAAGTGGGGATGTGGGGGAATCCTTGGGACAATATAGTAACTTTCATTTTCCAAAACTCATTTGCTTACCATGGTATATTAAGTTTGAGTAGCTGCACAAGTACAACCAAGCAACACTTTATCTCTAGCTCTTTAGTCTATAAATGGTCTTTTAAAGAGTTCTTTAGGGAGGAAAAACTAGCTCTTTCCTAAGAAGTTTATGAAAATTCTCAAAATATTTATAACCACAGAGAGTAAAACATATATATATATATGTATATGCTGAAATAGAAAATACTGGAAGCATTATTCCTTACCTCGAATATTGTTTTCACTTTAGAAATATTGTTCCCACTGTGGCCCTGTCATTTCTAAAAAAATAATAATTTATTGGGATCTCTTAGCTGTCAAATAAGCTCCTGAGTTTTAAGAAATTAAGAATATTTTCATTTGTATACAGTAAAACCTCATACTTTACCTTTAAATTTTCATTTGGTTCAATTAGCTTTGTTCTGCACTTTTGGAACTTTCACTTGAGCTTCCTGGCCTGTCTACTACTACTACTACTACTATTATAATTATTATTATTATTATTGCCTATAGTTTAATGATATTCTTTGTTGTTGTTGTTATATGACTTTGGGCCACACCCCATGATGCTTAGGGGTAATTTCTGACCCTGTACCCAGGAATCATTCCTGGAGGTGCTTCAAGACCATGTAGGATGTTTGGGATCGAGCCCTGATTGAGCTCCTGCAAGCTCCCTATCTGAAGCACTATGATATTCTTATAAATAATATTAAATAGTGACAGAGGAGATGTATGAAATAATGGAGCTTCACTAATATCTGCCTGGTTTATTTTTCTAGAAAGAACAGAGCTTCACAAACATCACAAGCTAGTGGGTCCTGCTGATTCCCAGGTTTATTTACTTAGTTGATGATATTTGTTGAGTCCATTCAGGTATAAATAGTAACTGGAAATTATCCAGGGGTCATAAATGAGGACATTAAATTGCAGCATTCCTCTTCGAAGTGTGTAGCCCCCAAATGCACCGGTATCCTGGCTTCTTTTCTTTGATTCCCCCAGCCATGAGCAATGTCTCTTGATTCCACCTAGAATCAGACCCTTTCTCACCACAGTCACCACTTTTAATTACTCCTATTCAAACCATCAGTTCTTTGCTGGACGGCTCTTAACTGTTAAGAGACTGGTGAGTAGGAGGTAAAAATGGCAGTTAAAGAAGATTCTAATCACTCTAGATTCTTTACATTTGAGAGCAGACTGTGTCTAAATTTATGTCAAAATACTGGATTGCAAGAACTAGAACCCCGTTCAAACTATTAACACAAAGAAGAAGGAAAGAAAGTATAGCGAGATTTCATAAGATGCCATGACCGGGAACTGGAAATTCAGGAATGGAGATTCTACTCTCCACCCCCCTTGAGTGACTGGCCTAAAGTTTATGTGCACATTCTCCTCTGGCCCATTTAAGTAAGAAAGGGCTTGGCGCTTCAGTTCTAGTTCTACCTGGCTCTCTAATTAAGACTAATCAGCCACTCAATTATTCAATTCCAGATTCCTAGAAGCAGATGCTTTCTTGGCTGGGCTTACTTAAGGTGTCTCTGCATGTGATCTAATCAGCGTGGGCCAGAACCTAGGATCACCCTATTTAAAACGCAGTTACTAAACTCAAAAAATGTGCCTGGCAAAAAAGGCAGGCTGGGAGGTGATGAAACTATTGGTAAAGGGAAGGTCACTCTGGTGATGAGATTGGTGTGGATGCATTGTATGCCTGAAACTCTAATATGAACAACTTTGTAAATCATGGTGCCCTAATTTTTAAAAACACGAAACACAGTTACCAGGGCTTAATACTTCAGCAGAAACCAGAAGATCAATTGCTAAAAGGGGCCTGAACAGACATACTAATTAACCTACCCTGCAATTTACAAATAATTTAAATTTAGTGTTTGGTTAAATGGGCTAGAGCAATAGCACAGTGGGTAGGGCGTTTGCCTTGCATGTGGCCGACCCGGGTTCGATTCCTCCATCTCTCTCAGAGAGCCTGGCAAGCTACCAAGAGTACTCCACCCGCAAGGCAGAGCCTGGCAAGCTCCCCGTGGCATATTCAGTATGCCAAAAACAAGTCTCACAATGGAAGCGTTACTGGTGCCCACTAGGGCAATTTGATAAATAACGGACTATGGTGCTACAGTTCAGTTAAATATTTTAGTGAATCAATTATTGCCATTCACAAATCCTCTGGGATGCACTAAGCTGAAATTAAGTCCATGTAAATGGCTGCCAACAGATAAGGTATAGTGAGTCTACATTGCAGAAAGTTTTTGTCAATAATGTAATCTCTCATGATGAAAGTTTTTAGCGTCTCCTTTATTCCTTTCAATTCTCATCCAGTCAGCCCTGTGCAATCAACAATAGTCACTTCTAGCCTGGTGGCCTTTAAACCATGAGGACTGCTGGCTTTAGAAAAGTTGTACACTTTCAGCCTTTGGCTTTTCATGCCAAATAATTAATAAGTTGCTCTTCTTGGGGTAGGTCGATTGCAATTCTTTTTCATTTTAATTTTTATTAACTGAGTATTGTTTATCTCGGCCCTGACTCAGCTAAATGTAATATAGCTATCTATAATTTGTCGTGTTGTCAGATAATGGCGATTATGTCATCATCTATTGGTTCATTCTTCAGTAAGCAGGTAAGAAAGAAGCCATTTGGCAGAATATCAATTGCCCAAAGGCAGAAAAGCATTGAATTGCTTGGAATCAGTATACTGATTTATGAGGACAAAAAAAAAAAGAAAGAAAATGTTGAGAAATTATTATGGGTCAAAATTTCTGCTATGTGCTATTTTTTAAAGCAAATAATGTAAATTATTATATTTTATCATTTTGGGAAGCTGGAAAGAAAGGGGTAAGACATTTGCATAGCATGTGCTTACCCTGGTTGATTCTTTGCATCACATATTGACACTTGAGCAATGACACTAGTGAGCCCCTGAACACAATGGTACCAGGCCCTGAGCACCACTTATTTGATGTGGCCCAAATCCTCTTCCCCCAAATAGAATAAATATATTTATTATTTTATTCTAAACTTAAACTTTCATTTTGGATTTTGTTTTGGACCACACAGTATGGTAGTCGTCAGAGGCTACTCATATTTCTATATCTTGGGGTGCATGCCATCCCCAAGGAACCAAGAAGTGAGTGGAATCAAACTTGGGGTTCTTGCAGGCAAAGCATGGTTCAGACAACTGAGCTATCTGTCCAACCTCTAAATCTACACTTTCTAATTTTAATTTCTTTTTTAAAAAAATTTTTATTAGTGAAACACCATGAGGTACAGTTGTAGACTTACAATTTTTTGTGCTTGGATTTCAATTATACAATGATCAAATACCCATCCCTCCACCTGTGCCCATTTTCCACCACCATGGGTCTCAGTATTCCACCCTGCCTCTGTGGCAGGGCATTCCCTTTTGTTCTCTCTCTCCTTTTGGGTGTTATGGTTTGCAAAAGAGGCATTGAGATGAAGTCATGAAATTTACATACAAGTGGTACTACATGGAAAGTATTATGTTAAGCGAAATGAGTCAGAAAGAGAGGGATAGACATAGACTGATTACATTCATCTAGGGAACATAAAGTAACAAAATAGGAGACTAACACCCAAGAGTGACTGAGACTAGTACCAGGAGGTTTGCTCCATGGCTTGGAGGCCAGCCACACATCCTAGGGGAAAAGGGAGCTCAGATAGAGAAGGAAGAAGATGCTGAAAGTAGACTATAATTTTAATTTCATTTCTTAAGTGTTCTACTTTCAAGTCAGTTAATCAATTGAAATAGAGAGGTATGTTTGCGGATGTGTTACTTTTGTCATCATAAACTTAGATATTAGGGATCATTTTCTTACATAACAAAATTCTGGATATTCCCTAGTTTCCCTGAGGTTGGACAGGATGAAGCTAATCTTCATTAGCCTATGTTGAGTTTATATTTCTGATGCCCTCTCTGAACCAACTGAGTTCCTAATCTTGTGAGGAATGGAATAAAAAATAAAACTTTTTAAAGTCAAAAGTACAGAACTGGTTTAAATTGGTGATCTCTTGAAATCCTTTTCACTTCTGAGGTTCTGACAGTAGAATTTAAAAAAGTAATATTTCTGGGTGCTAATCAACATAACGCAAGTATTCCATTTTCCCATTTTATCTTCACAAACCCTAAGAAGAAAGTTTTCATTTCATTCTACACCTAGGGGTCTGGCCTTTAGGAAAAAGTAAGGTAAGGAATTTGCTCTGGGTCAGTTTTCTAATCCAGTGGTAACAAATTAGTTATCAATAGTCAACAGATTGATTTTTAACCTAGCTGATTTGTTAGGGAAGACTTTTTTTTTTTTTTTCTGATCCTTTCACCTGGTCAGCTTCTACTCAGCTGATTCAGCTATGGTGTGTCGCCATCCCAGGCACTCCTAGGCCTATCAAACAATCCTCTTCTGTCCTCCTCATCCCTGTTTTCATCCTCTACTACCCTCTACTCTGGCGAGCTCCCTAAAAGTAAGAATTGCATTTCCTGTGTCTTCAGTATTTCACACGAAATTAGTAGGGGAAAAAAGTTCAAGGTCATTAGGAAATTACCTAACAAAGCCTTTACATTTGTTTTATTGTGCAATATATCCCGTAGTTAACGGACTAATTCTATAACTATTAGAACACAGTTTCGGGGACTTCAAGTGCAAGACCTCGTCGTCAGACGCGGAAGCTCCGGAGAGAACTACATTTCCCGAAATCCCTTGAGACACAATCGTAGTTGGTTGGTCGGATATTTTTGAAGGGCTGTCACTCTAACCAATAGCGAGGAAGAAATTTCTAGGAGCTGCCCAATCATAAAGAAGAGGGAGGGTATTTCTGATTTCTGTTCCAAATGGGGGCTTAAAAAAAACAAAGCCCCCCAAAACCTAAAAAACACCCCTTCGTGGTGCTTCTGGCCCTACTTAGGACCTCCAGGGCGGGGAGCTATTAGCCCAGGGGAGTTGTTCTTCTCCCCCACCCACTCCTGCCCCACGAATTAGAATTGGTCTCTATGTGTAGCCCTCCCTATCATTTTTTCCTAGTTTCTACATCTTTCCAAATCGAGTACCTCCGCTTCTCACTACCTTTCCTCGTTTAACGCTCTCTCTGGGAGGGCACCTGCGGCACGGATCTCGACCCTTTCAAACTTGAGCCAGGCGTTTGTCTCTAAGCATTATTTAGAGATTGTCTCAGGGATGCGGCCAAAGGTCTGAGCAAAAAAACAAACAAACAAACAAACAAACAAAACAATCATCCCACCGCGCTTTCGCTTTGCAAGAGTGGAGAAGCTCCCGGGATTCCTTAGTGGATAAGCAGCATTGCAGGGCATTTGAGGTTCTGAAAATGAACGGCAGAGCCGGGCTTACTTCCACCCTCGCCTCCGTCCTCACCCACCCGGGTGTGCGGCTTGGAAGCTGGGGTGCAGTGTCTTCGGCTGGGGCGGGCACCCAGCTCCTGAAGCCGGTCCCCTTTGGCAGCCTTCTAGCAGCTACCTGCCCAGGCCACTCTTTTTTTTAACCAACAGCCGTAGCTTCAGAAAATTTCATTCCCCACCCCGCCCGCCTCCCTCGGAGGTTGATCTCCTTTCCTAGTACCTAAGTGACATCCTCCGGCCACAGACGTCTCGGTTGCCTTTGCTTTCCCAAACCCAAATCTATCAACAAAGTCCGTGCACCGAGCAACAACAACAACAACAACCCTGCAATCAGCAAAGCGTGTGTGTGTGTGTGTGTGTGTGTGTGTGTGTGTATGTGTTTGTATATTCCTCATCAAGTGCTGAGAACCTAATAACACCTCCCCTCCGTTTCCAGGACCAAATTTGAAATCAAGGTGTTTTTTTTCTCCCCCCACCCCCCAACCCCTAACCCTCCAACCCTGCCTGCCTCTTGTGGGTCGTCAACATTTTTACAAATTCCAGCTGCAGGAGTGCAGGAGGCAGCGCCAGATGCACCCTCGAGCTGCCGGGCCGTTGGGGCTGCGAGCTGTGATAGTAGTAGCCCGGGTGTGGGATTTTTCGCCGAAGAGGATCATTTCAGCCCCGGCTCCGCTCCGGGCTGAGGGGTGCGGGGGGCGCGCGGAGGGGCGGGGAGGAGGGGGGGGGGAAGGAAAGAGCGCGGCGGGGCGCGTGCGCATGCCCAGCAGCAGCAGCGGCGGCAGCAGCAGCAGCAGCAGCAACAGCAGCGGCAGCAGCAGCAGCAACAGCAGCAGCCGCCCCGGCCCCGCGGAGGCCCAGCTGCCGGCACGGCCGCGGCGGGCGCTGTTCCCGCCGCTGCTGCTGCTGCTGCCGCTGTCGCTGTCGCTGTCGCTGCCGCTGTTCCCGCCTCTGCTGCTGCTGCTGCTGCTCGGGGCGGGCGTTGGTGCGGCGGGCGGCGCGGGGCTCCCGAGGAGCGCGGACGGGCCGGTGGCGGCCGCCGAGGAGCTCAGCGGAGCGCGGCACGGAGCGGCGCGGGACGCGCGAGGAAGCGATGCCGGCCGGGCAGCGGCGCTGACTGAGCGGCTCGGGGGAGGCCGAGCGAGTGGCTCGAGAGCCCGCGGCGACCCCGCCACTGCACCCCCAGCTCCACCCGCTCGCCCGATCCCCCCGCCCGGAGGAGGAGTAGCCGCCGCCGCGGCGGCGGCGGCGGGAGGACGCGCCGAGGGAGCGCGGGGCCGGGGCGGGCGCCGAGCGGCGGGGCCGCGGGCCATGGACGCGGTGGCGGCGGTGGTGGCGGCGGCGACGGCGGCGGCGACGACGACGACGACGACGACGACGACGGGGGCGAGTCGGGGCGGCGGCGCGGCGCAGAGTCCGCCGGCGGCCGCCAGGTGAGGTCGGGCTGCGCGGGCTCCGCGGAACCGACGGACGGACGGACGCACGGACGGACGCACGGACGCGCGGGGGGTCGCCGCCCCCCGGGGTGCTGGCGGCTCGGCCGCGGGCTCCGTCGGCGTCGCCGTGTTTCCTGTTTGGAGTCTCTCGCCGTCGCCACCGCCGCTGCCGCCGCTCCTCCCCACCTCCAGCTGCCTGCCGCCTTCCCCTCCCACTCGCGGCCCCCCGCCGCTGCTCGCCAGGGGGGCCGGGGGGGTCGTCCTCGTGGGAAAAACGGCCCGCGACCCCCCCGGGGGACGCCGGCTCTCCGCCGATCCAGGCGACGGGGAGGACCACCCCGCTCCCAGACCACCCCTCCAGCACTACCACCGCCTCTCGCCTCCCCGGCCGGACCCCGGGGCAGCCCCGCCGAGACCATGAGGAAATTCAACATCAGGAAGGTGCTGGACGGCCTGACCGCCGGCTCGTCCTCGGCCTCGCAGCAGCAGCAGCAGCAGCACCACCACCCGCCGGGGACCCGGGAGCCCGAGATCCAGGAAACGCTCCAGTCCGAGCACTTTCAGCTCTGCAAGGTGAGCGCGGCGCGCGGCCGCCCCGCGGAAACGGGGGGTGGGTGGGTGGGTGGGTGGGGAGAGGGGCGGGGGGGGGCTCGGGGCGGGGGGCGCCGCGGGCGACTCCCCCCACCACCCCCGGGAGGAAGAGGAGGAGGGGGCAATCGCACCTCGGAGCTAAGGTTGCTCGCTCCTCCTCTGGCCGACGTGGGCTCGGCGGGTTTATTTTGGAGATTGACATCATCTCACTCCTGCTCCGGGTGGTTTTTCCTCTCCGCCTTTGCACTGGCCAGCTCTGGTGGTGGTGGTGGTGTCCAGGTCGCTTCTTCGATGTAGGGTGCTGCCCTTTGATACGTAGTTTGCAGTCATCGGGGAGGGAGCCTTTCGGGTCAAGCCTTTTTTTTTTTTTTTTTTTTTTTTTTTTGCAAGGAATCCACCAAACTGAGAAGTTTCCTCTGGGAAACTGTTAGCCGACCGCCCAACCTGTCCCACTGTATTTTGCTCATCACTTTTTCCCTTCAGATGTGGTCCAGGAGCCTTAACATATGCCACCGCAGAGTTTTTTAATTATTGCATTTGGGTACAAAGTTAACACTGTGATTCTTCTTTCCCCTAAGCTCCCCCCCCCCCCCCACACACCTATTTAAATGGCAGGACAATTGTCATAGCGGTTTGTATTTCAGAAAGAATGATGCAGCGAATTAAGTCACCAGCTGCTCAGTGAGAAATACACTCTTGTCTCAGTATTTATAGTCGTCTTCTTCATAAATACCATGTATTCTCTCATATGTCAGAATTTCCTCAGTGTGCACTACACTTTTTTTTTTTGCCCGTTTGCCCCAGCTTGTTAAGGTTTTTAATAGCAAAATGCACAGATACATGCTGCACTCTTTTCATTCTGGTACAATTAGAAACTGTTGGGATAGACGTTTGATAATCGCTTTCTTAAATTCTTGGTTAAAATGATACCTTGGCAGCTTTTCCTTTGCAGTACTTGTATTTAGCACCCAAATAAAGTAATGATGCAGCTATCATACTTGGTGGTGATGGTGGTGTGTGTGTGGGGGGGTGGAGCATGATTTGCGTTTTTTAGTGACTTTACAGAATTTTGACCACTGCTCACTTATTAATTTGATCTCAGCGTTGTTTTTGTAGAATATCATTAACGGCACATTTTCTTCAGTAGAACACTATTGTGGAAAGTCAAGTGTTAATACCCTGACACAATGAAAAAAAACTGTTTCCAACTTGTTATGTAGATTTCAGGTTTGTTTGTTTCTTTTAGAGCAGCAAGTGTGTGTGATTTTGTTTTGTATCAGTTCTAATCGATTGGTGAGTCTGACGCCCCTATTGACTTTCTGTTTTTAAATTTTGCTTGCTGCCTTGGTTGCTGTGATGTCACTCGCCCATCCCTAGACTGTTCGCCATGGATTTCCCTATCAACCCTCAGCCTTGGCCTTTGATCCTGTACAGAAGATCCTGGCAGTCGGAACACAGACTGGTGCTTTAAGGCTGTATCCTTTCATTTCATTTCATTTTAAAAATCCTTGACGAATATTCTCCCCGGCTCACTATGTCGGTGATTAGTTCCTTTTCCTCTTTAATTTTAAAAACATGATATGATCAGGTCTATGATATTTCAAATGATGTGGTGTTGATTTTTTTCCCTGGGTTTTGCAAGTATTCCAGTTTTATGTTGCTGTGATGTTTCTCACTTCTCAGTCTGAAACATGTATCCACATAGAAGTCTTAAGTTTTGCTGTAGTAAGGACTATCTTAAGGAGCTAGAAGTTTCTAAGGGAAGATACTTCTTATCCTAAGAGTCTATTGAATTGAATGAGTTGTGGGTGAGTTTAAGCCTCATTGCACTGAGCACATTAGAACTTTAAAAAAAATTTTCTCGTGTTAGATGTTGAATTTGTAACCTATTCAGATGAATTTGAGTTTGAATTTCATTTAGAAAATCATTAGCAAAATATAAATTTATTTTATATTTAAGTGGAAGCATTGATATTGCTAAAAGTTTTAGAACTTTTTCTTAGTATATCGCAAATAAATAAGTTTATCTCTGTGATGTGCTTTCCATTACATATGTATGTGTGTGTATATATATATGTATATATAAAAATGTAAAATGTTCAGGTTAACTACATGAACTCTCAGTATAGTAGAATTATTTTTCCTGGTTATGCCTGAACTCTTACTAGTCCTGTCTCAGTATTTTTCTTTTTTTGATATTGTCTCATTCTTCAATTTCATCTTTTGAGGCTGAACAGTAGAGAATAGTTTATTCTTTTGAGCAAGAGACCATGAAATAAAAATATACTTGCTTTATTTTGGCATTTATATTAGCTATCTAATACTGACATTTAGCTACATTGAATTAATGTGTTAGTAATAAACAGAAAAAAGATGATCTTAATAGGCATTACTATTGTCAAAAAAGAGAAAGAAATGAGAGGAACTTCCCCATCTCCATTTTAGACTTATCTGACTTCTGATAAAAGGGAGGTGAAAAGAATTTGAATTAAAACACAGTGCCTTGCATTTTCCTGTAATCTTTAAAGTCTTCATTTCAAAGAACTACTAAATGGTATCAAGATATGCCTCCATATCTTGGATTAGTGCGCTAATAAATAATGCTAAAAAAGGTTTTCAGATGGGTCATTGAATTTTACTAAGTGAGATCTCCCATTCCTTGTAAATATAAGAAGTATACAATTAGACCTAATGGTAATATCCCGTTAGACTAAATCTGAGTCTTCGATTTTAAGGAGCATTCCTGAATGGCTTGTGTCCAGAGCTGAGATATTTTTGGGCTTCACTTGCTTAGAAATTTTGTTCTTAATTCTGATAATCAGTCCCTTCTACTTTAGGTTTCCTGTTCTAATCTTGTGAAGATAGGACTAAAGTTAATTTCCTCAGTGTGGTACTGAGTATTCAGCAAAACTGATGACAAGGAGTTGTACATTGTACATTGATCTAGTTAGGTTGTTTTTAATTTTTTTTCCCCATCAAAAAAATTATCACTTAATTAAAATCAAAGTTGAATTGGTTCAAATTTTTAATTATTGTGCCTTTTAAATTGGTGCTCCTCCACTCTTTTTTTTTTAATGTTCATTTCCCAATGTAGTCTCAGTTTCCTATGGTGAATAGTTTTTTTTTCTTTTATCCACTCATCTAATGTAATTGTGAGGACCACCAGGAAGTTAATTCTGTAAACCAAATATGTATTCCAAACAGAACTTTCACCCTTGTGCATTTGTTAATTAACAAGTTGACGCAAAAGGAGGAGCTAAAGGTTAGCCCTAATGCCTATTGCCAAATGAAAGCTGGAATTAGGTGTCCAAAATTATCAGTTGTATATGACTTTTTCAATACATATTTTCTTATTGATAAAATCATATGAATGAAAGTGCCTCTTGAATTACAGTTTACAATTGTACTCTTAATTTTTAAATTTTTAAGAATGAAATCAGGAACAATATTTACAAAATCTCCCCCGCCTCCCTTTTTTATGAGATTCACATGAACATTAGAGTGGTAAATTAGTTTGCCTACCGGTAATACAACCTAGTCATTCTTTTTGTTAGGCTTAAGTAGACTTACAGACTTTATTTATTATGACTTTGCTTTATAGAAAATGACTAAGGCCTTTTTATTTTTATGTGAATTTCCACATATTTGAGTTGAGATACACATTATTTGCTCTGTTCTTTGTTATATTCAAAGCTACACACCTGGAACACATATATTCTACCTCGTTGTTTGTTATTTTTTAAGTAACCTAAACATTTAGTCACCTAAATTTAAAAAATTCTGATTTCAGGACTCCATCCTGGTTTAACATTCAGACATTTTACAAGTTATTTTATTGCCCTTGCTCTTTTTTGTTTTTCTTTCTAATACTTTTAAAAGAAAGACCAAGAAAGTCTTTCTTTATTGTCTTCTTCTGTTGGATTCATGTAATTTGTAATACATTTCTCACAAAGGGTATTTTAGAGTATAAATACATTTTTTGATAAAAAGGCTTTCATTTCATTAACTGCAATGTAAGAAGTAGGAGATGTGTTCAAAGGTAGGATTGGACTATTGGAATTCCAAGAGGCTGTCTCATTTGACTAACAGGGTGACTTAATAATATTGAAAGACTGTACTCAGTTGATCTATCTGCTTTGAGATTACAATAAAATCATGAACAACTTGAGTAAGTTCTATCTGATATGTGATGTTTGGATAAGAATTAGCATAAATCTGAATTCTTAAATAACAGTTTACCAAAATGTTATGAGGATAAAATTAGTGTATATACTATAGCAATGGTACAGCAGTTGATCTAGATCATTATAAACATTCCTTCAATCTTTTGACTTGTGGTAAGAATAAGAGGATGTATAGGAAACAGGGAAGTGTAATTTTATGTAATCATATAGTAGTAATTAAATGTAATTACCCCCAAATTTTCTTCTTCTTTTTTCTTTTTGGTCATCAAAATAGATTTATTTGAGTAATCTGGAGGTCAGACCTATTGGGATAAATTAATCTAATTATTCTCATATGGGTAAATAAAAGGATAAAAATGTTTTTTGGGCCAGGAGATGGCTCACTGGGCTTCAGTGCATATGTTGTACACATGCTTTGCATTCAGGAAGCTAAGATTTGATCCCTAGCACTGAATGATCTGAGCATCACCAGAAATGACCCAGGAATAGCCCTGGAGCACTACTGGGGATTGCACAGAAATGTGAAAAAAAATTAACCCCAGAATAAAGGTATTTTGGACAAAGGCTGCTGTTGTCATTATCCAGATTCCTGACTTTCTAGTATTTAATTTTGAACTTCTTTATATCGTATTATAACTATAGAGTACATTAACTTTTAAAAATTCATTTAAATTTATAAATACTTTGTTTCTGTACCACACTTGGCAGTGCTCAGGACTTAATCCTGCCTCTGTGCTCATTGATTAATTCTTACTGTGCTTGGGGGACTAGATGGGGTGCTGATACTCAAACCCAGGTCAACTCTAAGTGCTGTGCAAAAATGTATTTTTGTCTAAACATGATGAGGTCATTTAAAATATGAATATATAAAGCACGAAACAGAAAAATGGAATTTAAAAAAAGTCTGTTTTTTATTATAATTAGCAAAGGATCTCATTTATCATTTTTTGGACATGTGGAATATAGCATAATAGGCAGTCTCTGCTTTGGTAAGGCATGGGAAGTTTTAAGTTGCAGCATAATGTTGCTGAATGGAGGCTTATAAAATGAAGTTTGTACCTTGGCTTCATTTTACTAATACTTCAGTGTTGTATTAGATCATAAATTGTGGTCTGAATTCTGGTTCTTTCTTGCCACTTTAAGAAGTATATGCCCTTGTATTATCTTTTTCTTTAGTTTTCAAACAAGGGGTCATTTTATATGATTTCTTGAAGGAATAATTTTGTGATTTTGATTAGTTTTCTGTGTATTCTAGGTGAGTGCATGAAAGAAATGAAAATGCAGTAATTCCTCTTCATAAGTTTCCAGTCCTAATGATGAAAGGGCTAGAATGAATAAGCATAATCAAAAGTTAGAGAATTATTTAGGGTCTGTTGATATTCAACTAAGTCAGGCTGCATTTGATGCCATTTTTACATATAGTAGCTAAGAGTCATTATGTTGGGGAAGGTATGCACAATTAGTCGAACAACAACTGTTGGCTAAAGCAGAGGAAAGGGAACCACCCTGCTATCTTTATTGGACTTTCAAAGATATTGGTTGGAATCTTGGAGAAACTTGGATTTTAACCTACCTTTTCTGGATGGTTTTCAGTGATGAATCTTTGCAGTTATATAAGGAGATGCTAACAGGAAGAAGGTATGATTTTTAGGATGATTTAGTGGGCCATGGATGTCATGGATGAAAATAATTGACCAAATTAAATGTCACAGGGAACTATTAATACCTAGAGATCGTAAAGTGGATCCAAAATGGGAGTTGCAGAATGGGAGCTGGAGAGGGAAATTAATGATGAAGATGGTGATTTTTGCCATTATTGGACTGAGGCTATTACAAAGTGAAATCAAAAACTTACTGAGGTGGTGGCAGAATTATGGTGAGTTTGGAATTCTCTCATTGCTGACATTTATCATACTGCCATTTTGTGCGGATGGCCTAGATGTCTTATTTTAGCGCGAGAATTGATGCACTTTTCCATTTGTTGTCCATTTGGATTGATCTTGTGGGTTTCCTGGATTTCTGATTGAGGGCACTTGTTTAAAGTCAATTTCAGTAGTTTGATTTTGTTCACTTATCATTGGTTAGTGTTTCTCAGATAGTGGGTAGTCTGTGGATTTGCTGGACATATTTTAGGCTGTGTAATATTCCTGGTTCCTACCTATTAAATATGTCAGGTTTGCTTCTGTTCTCTGTGTGGCAGCATGAATGCTTGCTCCCCCACTATTGTGTATGTACACACACACACACACATACACACATGCATGCATGCACGCACGCACGCACGCACACAC